CAATACGGTGAAACCCCGTTTCTACTAAAAATACAAAAATTAGCTGGGCGTGGTGGCCTCCACCCGTAGTCCCAGCTACACTGGAGGCTGAGGCAGAAGTATCACTTGAACCCAGGAGGCAGATGAGCTGAGATCATGCCACTGCACTCTAGCGTGGGCGACAGAGGGAGACTCTATCTCAAAACTAAAATAAAATAAAATAGAGGCCAGGTGCAGTGTGGTGGCTCATGCCTATAATCCAGCAAGTTGGGAAGCTGAGGTGGGTGAACTGCTTGAGTCCAGGAGTTCAAGACCAGCCTGGGCAACATAGTAAGACCCTATCTCTACAAAAAATACAAAAATTAGCTGGGCATTGTGGTGGTTGCCTTAATCCCAACTACTTGGGAGGCTGAGATGGGAGGATCGCTTGAGCCTGAGAGGCAGAGGCTGCAGTGAGCCAAGACTGTGCCACTGCCCTCCAGTTTGGGTGACAGAGTGAGAACCTGTGCCAAAAAAATAAAAAAAGTAAGCACTACAGAACTAAGTTGCCTGGGTGCAAATCCCAACTCTGCCTCTTACTACCTGTGTGATCTTGGGCAACTTTGCTGCAGGTCTCCGAGCTCCTATTCATCATCTATAATAAACAGTAGCTGCCGCAGTTAATGGACAATGGTGAACAAAATGGCCAAGGTCCCTGTCCTCATGGAGCTTACAGTCTAGCAGGAAGGGAATACTAAGCAAGAGCATTTATTTTGCATGCCAGCTGTGTGCAGGTCCTGTGCACTCTGCAGACATTCTCTCAATGAAATTTTACAGAATCCACGCCTGTTTTGTAGAGGAAGAGGGTGAAACTCAAAGAGGCCACAAGCAGAGAGAGGATTTAGAGCTGAGAGGTCACTCCACAGTATGGATGAATCACCACATTAGTATGGTGAGCGAAAAAAGCCAGATGGAAACGAATACACATTGTATGATTTCATTTATATGAAACTCTAGAAAATGCAAACTAACTTATAGTGACAGAAAGCAGATCAAGGGTTGTGTAGGACGGGGGTGGGCTGGGCATTCACTGCAAAGAGCCTGAGGAACCTACTTGGGGAGATGGAAATGTTTTACATCTGACAGTGATACTAGTTACATGGGTGTATGCATCTGTCAATGTTCATTGAACTGGACACTTAAAATGGGTGCATTTTCCTGCATGTAAATTACACCTCAACGAAGCTGATCTTTTTAAGGGGGTGGGGAAGATATACCAGACTCCAGAGCCCTGCAACCCTTCTTACATTATTCAAGTGTCTGATTTCAAGTTCATTTGTGGGCAGAGATTGTATCAGATTCATCTTTAGGTCCTCCCCTTACTTCCCAGCCCGAGGGCTTAGTAAAATTCTTTTTTTCTTTTCTTTTCTTTTTTTTGTGATGGAGTCTGACTCTGCTGCCCAGGCTGGAGTGCGATGGTGCAGTCTTGGGTCACTGCAACCTCCGCATACCCGGCCCCCCCTCCTGCCAGGTTCAAGAGATTCTCCTACCTCAGCCTCCCAAGTAGCTGGGATTACAGGCGCCCACCACTACACCAGCCTAATTTGTGTATTTTTAGTAAAGACGGGTTTCACCATGTTAGCCAGGCTGGTCTGAACTCCTGACCTCAGGTAATCTGCCCACCTCAGCCTCCCAAAGTGTTGGAATTACAGGTTTGAGCCACCGTGCTCGGCCAAAATTCTTAAACCCAATAGTTCAGATTACCAAATATACCCTGGGCATCTTCTTTGTCCTGGGTGCTGAGGTCACAGAGCAATCAGTCTAGTGGGGAACACAGAAGGGAAAGGCCAAATAGACACAGTACGGTGGGTAAATGTGCTGATGGAGTAAACAGGTCATTACTGGGCCTCAGCAATGCATCCTGCATAGAGACTGGAACTTGGGATGTGAAACTCTCAAGCTCTTCAATCCACCGCCTGCATTCAAATCTCCACCCTACTGCTTGCTGTGTGACTTTGGGTGACTCCCTCAGCCTGCCAAACCTCAGTTCCCATCTCTGGAAATGGAGATCACAGTAGCTCTAATCTAGAGGGTTGTTATGAGCATTAAAGACAGAAAATGTCAAATGTTTAGCATGGCAGGCATAGGAAGTACTCCATAATTGATAGCCATTCTTACTGTGATTGAAGAGCAGGGAGGTGGGGAGAGGCACACAGGGTGTGTGCGTGTGTAGCGGGGGTTCACGACCCAACCTGAGGTGGGAGAGGGCTGAGAGGTACTTTCCCAGAGAGGTGATACTTGGAGGAGGAATTGGCTCATTTAAGTGGCCATGGAGGCAGTACGGAGTGGGAACAGCTTGGAGCAAATGCTCAATAAATATTTGCTCAATAAATAAAAAAAATAGAGACTGTGCAAAACCTGCCTGTAACCAAGGGGACAGAAAGGGCCTGCCAGAGTAGACTGGGGGGTCCTCAGGAGGCGGGGCTGGGTGGCCCCCACAGGCAGGCTCCAGACTTTCCTAGCCTGGCCCGACCCCACCCTGTGCCCTGCCCAGTTCCCCTGACACCTTTGGATATCCCCAGACCTGAGGCCTGGAACCCAAGGGAGGAGGAACGGTGGGGAGGGCCGGCGGGACAGGGGTCCTCGAGGGCCTTCTCCCTCTAATGAGAATGGGCCAAGTCCCCGCAAGGCGCCTCCTGCGCCCCCGTTGTCCGAACCACAAAGGGCCAGGATCAATGAAAGGCGGGAGCGGCCAAGGGGCCTCCTCTTTGTGCGGCTGTCTCAGGCCTGTTTGCGCCGCCGTCTCCGCGCCCCCATTGATCAGGCATGTGGAAAGATTCCGCCTCCCGGGCTCCCTTTGTGGCCGCGTTGCCAGGCTGCGCCCGGCGTGACTACACCGTGCAGGGCGCACCGCCTGCAGTGGGCACCGGGCTGCGAGACGGGGCGGGATCCCAGGAAGGCAGGGTGGTCAGATTTAGCAAGTAAAAATACAGGACGTCCAGTTAAATGTGAATTTCTGATAAATAACAAACAAAAACAAAAATAAATAAATAAATAAAGTATAAGTATGTCCCAAATATTGCATGGGACATACTTACACTGAAAAAGTATTTGTTGATGATCTGAAATTTCAACTTAACTAGGCATCCTGTTTTATCTGGCATCCTTTGAGGGGGAAGCTGAATACATCTTCATTGCCTAGCACTTATATTACCCCCAACTTCGGTGGTTGAAGTTTTGTTTGCTGCCTTGCTTTTTGTTTTTGTTTTTGGCCGTATTTGCATACCCCGAACTACTATTTAGCTACAATTTTTCTTTAAATACATTTATTTTTAGGCCGGGCGCGGTGGCTCAAGCCTGTAATCCCAGCACTTTGGGAGGCCGAGGCGGGTGGATCACGAGGTCAAGAGATCGAAACCATCCTGGTCAACATGGTGAAACCCCGTCTCTACTAAATATACAAAAAATTAGCTGGGCATGGTGGCGCGTGCCTGTAGTCCCAGCTACTCAGGAGGCTGAGGNGGAGAATTGCCTGAACCCAGGAGGGGGAGGTTGCGGTGAGCCGAGATCGCGCCATTGCACTCCAGCCTGGGTAACAAGAGCGAAACTCCGTCTCAAAAAAAAAAAAAAATACATTTATTTTTTAAAAACTTACCCTGGCAGAGCGTGGTGGCTCAAGCCTGTAATCCCAGCATTGTGGGTGGCCAAAGGGGAATGATTGCTTTAAGCCAGGAGTTCAAGACCACCTTGGGCAACAAAGCAAGATCCCCTCTTACAAAACAAAACAAAAAACTCCCTTAACCTATTAATGATTTATTGATGCATACTGCCTATACATTAACTTGAACAAATATGAAATGTACCTGTTGATGCATTTTTGCCTACAAGGACACTGATGTGACCACACCCACGTCAAGATATAGAATATTCCAGGCTGGGCGAGGTGGCTCATGCCTGTAATCCCAGCACTCTGGGAGGCCGAGGTGGGCAAATCACTTGAAGTCAGGAGTTCGAGACCAGCCTGGCCAACAAGGTGAAACCCCCTCTCTACTAAAAATACAAAAATTAGCCAGGTATGGTGGTGGGTGCCTGTAATCCCAGATACTCAGGAGGCTGAAGCAGGAGAATTGCTTGAACCTGGGAGGCGGAGATTGCAGTGAACCAAAGTGGTGTCATTGCACTCCAGCTTGGGTGACAGAGCAAGACTCCGTCTAAAAAAAAAAGATATAGCATATTCCCATCACCCCAGAAGGTTCCCTGGGATCCCTGGACAGTATCCACCTCCCCACTGGCAGCCATAGATTTGCTTTAGCTGTTTTTGAACTTCATATCAATGGAATCTTATAGTATAATATGTACACTTGAGTCTAGCTTCTTTTGCTCAATGCTGTTTCTGAGGATGGGCATGTGGCTCACCCCTGTAATCCCAGCACTTTGGGAGGCCCAGGCAGGCAGATCAGGATCACCTGAGGTCAGGAGTTTGACACCAGCCTGGCCAATATGGGGAAACCCCGTCTCTACAAAAACACAAAAACTAGCCAGGTGTGGTGGCAGGTGCCTGTAATCCCAGCTACTCCGGAGGTTGAGATGGGAGAATCACTTGAACCTGGGAGGCGGAGGTTGCAGTGAGCCGAGATCACGCCACCGCACTCCAGCCTGAGCTACAGAGAGAGACTCTGTCTCAAAAGCAAAACAAAACAAACATGCAAACAAATGTCTGTGATTTGTCCCCATTGTAGGTTGACCAGTGGTTTGCTGCCTTTCGCAGCTGGCTGAGGATTCCGTTACATGGCTGTTCCACGGTTTGTTCCTCTATTCTCTTGTTGATGGGTGTCTCGCTTGTTTCCAGTTTTTGCTGTTATAAATAAAGCTGCTATGACCATACTTGCAGTGGTCACTGTATGAACTTAAATATATTTAACCTAAGCAATACTATTTGTGAACCATGAGCTTAAAATGCTACTTTAATTTTTTTTTTCTCCTGCACATTAAATATATAACGATGACACATGTTTCTGGGAACATCTTTTGACCAAGCTCACCTTTTGCACTGTCAATGGCCACATACCAAACCGCAGAATAGACGTTAAGGGAACACTGGCTTAGGGTAGATCCTGAGCAAGTGGGTCAATCCCTCTGGGCCTTGGTTTCTTCATCTGTGCAATGGGGATGATAATGTTAATTATCTCACAGAGTGACTGGAAAGGCCAAATGGGGTAACACCTTATAAAAGGGCCAGCCATGGTGGCACACACTTGTAATCCCAGCTACTCGGAGACTGGGGCAGGAAGAGTCGCCTGAGCTCAGGAGTTCGAGATCAGCCTGGGCAACATAGTGAGACACGCTTCTTTTTTTTTTTAGATGGAGTTTTGCCCTTGTAGCCCAGGCTGGAGTGCAATGGTGCAATCTTGGCTCACCGCAAACTCTGCCTCCCAGGTTCGAGCGATCCTCCTGCCTCAGCCTCCCGAGTAGCTGGGATTACAGGCATGTGTCACCACACCCTGCTAATTTTGTATATTTTTAGTAGAGACGGGCTTTCACC